AACCTGGTTCCCATCATGAGGTGACAGATTGTTCTCGCCAGGCAAACATCCTCCTTATCAAGTGAATTATATTAATTTATTAAGGGAAAACAGCAGGAAATATCTGCCTAGTTACAAAATATTCAACGCCTAATTGTAATGAAGTAATGGAGAAGAATTACAAGCCAATGAAGAAATAAAATACTATTAAAAATATTAGAAGTGGTAAAAGTGAACCATTCGAGTTTTTTTAAATACAGATTATTTTCCTAATTTTGACGATTCTGTCTAACACCCAGCTCTCTTAAGATACCCGAACGAAGCCTTGTTCCTTGGTCAAAAACATTTGATAAAGATGGACTTGGTACGTACATCCGCCACTGCCTCGTCGTCTGCAACTTTATCAGATATCTTCCACCACAGGCTAAGCACCTTGCTTGACTGATCAACGTTTTCAATCCCGTGGCTTCGCAGTCCTTTTTAGAGGGTTATACAATGAACGCCAAGGGCTTCTCAGCCACAACTATACCTGGTGTCGGCCGTGAGAAAATAAGAAAAGTGGTAAGTGAACTTCACCAAGGAGGACTGGAGGCATTAGAGAAAATGGCCCCGATAGTATCCTTAGCTGAGAGAAAGACGAGGACTGTGCAAAAGGGGTTAGTTTTTGGTATGGATGAGTTGTCGAGACAACTGCTATACCAGGAAGCTATCTACAAATACAGCAATGGAAGGGGAAGCAGATGCGGCGGCCTCTGCGGCGAGCATCATGACGCAATGGTCAGCGCCCAGGGAGCAGCAAAACCACTTGGGTGACCCCGTAGCGCGAAGGAGATCGCAACGCATCCCGGATCCTCGCCGGCGCGGCGCGGACGCGAGCTGCTTCTGCGCAGAACAGGAAGGCGCGCGCGGGCGGGCGGGCGAGCGAGCGAGCGAGCGAGCAGCTGCCAAGTGGGGCGCGAAGCGGCGGGCGACTGCGTGGAGAGCTTATCGTACAAGAACGCTCAGCGCCCGCAAATAAGACTAAAGCAAGCACTTAAAGTACTACTTACTACATTTGTATATTATAAATTGACTTGATGTGCACTAAAACACCACGTTAAAAAGAAATTATATAAGTGTGTGGAAGGCGTACGTAAAGAATTAAAAATAAAATAAAATCAGCTTTTCTAAAAACGCTATCCTTTAAACTCAATATATTTTTAATAATATTTATAAACACGTTTTTATAAACACGAAAATGCGATGCGAATGAACAACTTTGGTATTTGGCGTCGATTTGTATAACAACTTCCTTTCTCAAAGCCACGTGTTGGGGGGATTTGAAATGTAAACCAGCGTCAATGTCACTACAAAAAATATTGTGAACACAACAGGTTTGCATTGCAGAAGTGACCAGAATAAACATTCGTGCAAATGGCCTGGTCGAATATGTAATAGCAGTTCTCTCTGTATTCGCTTGGCTGCTCTCATTGCGTAAGCAAACAAATTATCCATCCACATTATGACGGGCGTTTTCCTGAAGTCATGCAGAACATTTAAGAGTCCGGCCCATTAATGCAAATTGTATTTCCACCTGCGTATTCGCCTTATTCCCTTCTCGGTACTCAACAGTTCAGAATCTGGGAATAAAAAAAACTACAATTCAGTGTGATGCATCACCTTAACATTCCTGGTTCAGTATAAGCCAGGCAGACCGGACCTGAATATTGCGTTGCACTTTTCGAAAAAAATAAAGTACCACCCAAGTTAATGGCAACTTAACACTTCCTGTACGCTTATTTACCACCTCCTACTGTTTGACGCCACCTCTGATAATAGGACGCGAAATGCCAAGTGTAGTGCGCAGTATGCGCTTGTCACCTACAGGATTGTAAAGTGAAATTAATCCAACGGAAAAACTTCCCCGGGGATGGTTCCCTCCGCTGACCTTTGACTGCACGTGATTTCCAAGTCAAAGGATTAGGGGAATGTATAAGGGATTAGAGGTATTGCAACCGGATATTTGTTTGTGACCCTGAACTTATTGTAAGTAGTAGGTACGTCAGAAATTCGATACTAAATATATTGAGAATTATCCTATGTTAAAACTTGAATGTTAAGGATAACCATATCCTGCAAGGCGTTTTCCAAGGTGACCATCCTCATATAGCACGTTTCGAATAACTTGCCAACTCAATGATTTAATGTGAATCTTAACCAAACAAAATGGTATTATACACAACTTAGGATTAGAGATCAAAATGTCTAACCTTTCACATTACTGTAAAAATAATGACATTACTTTTAATATACCAATGTTTTTGAAATGTTATTAAATGAACATGAAAAACGCCTAACATGCCATCAAGATGCATCAGCTTCTTCGGAAATTAACATTCAAGCTTTATTAACTTCCAAAAGTACTCCTAAAACATGACTTTTTTCATTAATATTCTACTGTACTGGTATTTACACCACACTTGAAAACTAGATATGGCAATTGTGTGATATCCACACTTTCACAAGTATTCACAACAAAATCTTGGATTTCATCTACGCAACAAAAATTTCTGATGAACAAGTCTTCATTTGTCGTGAAAAGAAATTGCGAACTGAATCAGGTTTCCCCGACACGTCTCTTCATGCGTATGAATTCAACGGGCTGAATAACGCATCGAGAACATAGGAGCTAAGGGCACACTCTTGAGCCGCAGCCAAACTCCTATCTTGGCTCCAAGTAAGCGCCTCTGTGACATGCCAAGGTACATTTGTGCTAGTGACGCCGTGCCGGCCTCGCCCTGCAACTCCCCACTGTTTAATTCGAGTTTCTAGGCATCTGATCACTATTTATTCTACAAAATGTTAACCAGTTTAATCCGCGAAGTCCTTCATGCAAAACCCAAACGCAAGTATGGTGACAGGCTGGCATACCTTTCGGAAAGTAGAAACAGTTTTACGGGAAGTTTGCTAATGTATATCACAATATATTTTCAACATCAAGGGAGAGCAACCTGTATTTCTTATAACTGCGAACATTCATGAAAAATGTGCGAACAACGTATTCAAAATATAAAATAGTCACTGCATGAAATAATCCTTTATCTACTCTATTCAAAGAAATAAAAATTAAAGACAACGGAACAATTATTTTTCTTTTTTTAAAATTTGATTTACATAATTTCATTACTATCTCACATTTGATTTTAACTTGCACGTACAGATTCAACAGAGTGTGCTGATGTAACACAGCGATCCAATTGAAAAGGCAGCCCGAAAGCGCTTGAGATTTCCCCTGGGGTCCCACCGAGGCCAAGGCCCATCCTCGGCGGGCGTTGCGCGCCGCCCGCGCCAGCCGCCCTTCCAGGGGGCGCGCGGCGCGGCGAGGGGCGGCGATCGAAGGCGGATCGAACGGCTCCCATCGACCGCAAGCCAGCGCCCGCCTTCGCAAGAGCGACCTGCGCGAATACCAGCAACGGACGAACGCACTCGACTGCGGCCGGGATAAAACACTTTTCGAACAACTAAAAAAATGTCTAATTTAATGTATTAATTTTTCTTTAAAAAAATTAAATTTCTAAATATTTTTTGAAGCTGCTCTTGACAGTGCAAATTCTTTGGAAGTACTCTGGAATGTGGAACAATCTGCAGTGCCGTGCAACGCAGTTAAAAATCTACGTTTTCTGCGATACAGACAGCTATTTTAGCTGCTCTTTTATTATTAAGCATAATCGCGTGGTCTAAGTTCAAGACGTTATACGAAACCCACATTCTTGAAAATTAAATTTTCCGTTCGGTTCTTGGGTTTTAAGAATGAACGAGAACTCTAGGCGTTCTTTAGAAAGTAGTATCAAGTAGAAACTAACCCTAGAACAATAAGCGTTTTTTAGTATCGGGAAACTTCTTCACTTATGAAGTAAACAAGTGCTGTCTCAAAAACGAAATCCTCAGGAAACCTGACGCCCAGGAATAATCCCTTTCCAACTATTTGCAATAACAGAAGCCCTTATGTGTACCTAGACAACTTGCGTGGAAACTCAGCCAAGGTTTCCACAGATATAACGGTTATCTACAGGTTTTGAAACGTATGAGCGACGTTCCATCGTTTGCAAACTTTGAGCGCAATGTGATGACGCACACTTGTGGCGGGTAACTAATCACCTCACATTGGTCGAGCTTGAAACGCTTGTTAATATAAAATGTTATGTAAATGAACAAGAAATACTTTAATTAGCATATGCTTGAGAACTAAAATTTTTCAACAGTAATTGTTTACTTCGATTAGTTTTATTTAATTGTTTCGGAGTTTTCATCGATTTGAGTTTGTCACGGGAGACCACTTTTTTAATATTCAATATTACGTTTCAAGTTTCAAAAATTGTGCAAAATGACATTGTGTGTGCAAAATGAAAAAAAAAAAAAATCTAACAAAATCTTTCCAAAACCTCCATTACACAATAACTTTGAATCTTACTCGCCAAAAATAACCATTATTTAATTTCTGAATTTGAATTAAATAGCCAGTATATAATTAAACCAATTTTGAATTGATAAGGTCGGCTCTCCTAATATTTCCCAACCGAGAGACGATACCTGTCGAAGTGGCGCCAACAAATGCACAAATGGCCATGAAATCATTTCTCGTCGAGTTTAGGAATATACGTTTTAAACAAAACTCCGTGCCAAGCATTTCTAGATATTTATTCTTTTGGATAAGATCAAATTTACTTTTGAATTTCAAGCCAGAAATCAAAGAATGTCTTATCTTTAACGCTGACTCATGTTGCCAATGTACCGTATTGTTACCCAAATATTAGCAAGGAAGAACGAAATTACTTTCAAAATCAGTTTGTGAATGAAACCATCACTAATCGTACTGTCAGCATGCTAACATGTAAACTCTAAACATGTAGCACAATATTCAAGACAAACATTTCACTTCACTGAAGAAATTGCACCATATTGAACGTCGACCACTTTCCAGTTCGTTTAAAACCTTATAACGCAGAGTAAATCAATTTCAAACAAATTTACAAGAGACACACCTCGTTGGATGAATCGTAGACGTCATCCTCTTCACAGAAATCCACTTCTCCAATCTCATAAGCCTCCTTAACGTCCGCAACAACTATCACCCACATAGCTAAGGCCACTCGCAACTTAACTCCTTATCAACACTGCACAAGCACTCCGCGAAACAAAAGTCGAGAGCTATCCTCGAGAGAACACCGCGAGATCCTCCCGCGCACTGTCAGCGGCGACCGCGATAAAAGCATGCCTGCCGGGTGCGGGCCAGCTGGCCAACTCACCGGCGTCGACGGTCGCCTCTCCGCGCTGGCGTCCCTGCCGCGTGCTCGCTGGGTGACGTAGCGGCGCACCCGTAGGGCCACGTCCAACACGCGAACGGGGGCCATGGCGGGCGGCGGTGGGCTGCGCTGCCTAACTGCACCAGGCGGCGACGACAGCGGGCGCTCTCGTCATCTCTGTGACGCGAGGAGCGATAACGGCGCCGCGGCAACGACGGTGGGCTACGTGCGCGATACCCGCGTGATAGTGTCGTCGTCGTCGCCGCCTTTGCCTCCGAAGGGGGGGGGGGGAGGCGGCGTCTGCCGTGGTGCCGGGCACCGAGCGAGAGATGGGGCGGCGGTGGCGGCTCCGCGTGCTTGCGGGGCGAGACACGACGAGACACGGAAAGGACGATAGGAACGCGGGCGCGTGCACAGCCACTTTCACATCGGGCTCGCGGGAGCTGCCGATCGTCCTGGCATGCGGCGCGAAGCGAGCGCACTGAACGAGGGGCGATAAAAGATAATAACCCGGATAACAAAACACGTTTGTTATTAAGCTTCCTTGTATTTTATAACATTTCACCAACACTTTAATGTCTAAAAATACATGCAAATGAAAGCCTAGCATATTCCTACTTTTTTCTTTCAATTTTTAAACAACACGTAGTATGGAGATAAGCAAGACAGCAACAGTAGCACGGAAGAACACCGTTCACATTTTGTATTGAATTCGCTTTACAACAGCACACAAGTATTGCTTTATAATGAACGCAGGAATCGTAAAGAGTATGAAAGCAATTTAAATTTAAACCTCAATTTTTGGTTAAGGTATCAAAATTTGGCGTAATTGTTTTACATATAATTTATACTCAGTAACCCGATTAATGTCACAGAGCGAAATGTTATAAACATTTACCAACATTAACAAACAAGTGAAAACACACACACATACACGTGATCGCTCAACTAATGTGGCTCTTGTAACCAGTTCGTCGCAAATATGTTTTCCTCTGAATACACACCATTTATGCCTAAACATTCACAACCTTTTTTCGAACTTCTGTTTTAATGTTGCCCGGTGATTCATCGCTGGAGGTTTCTCAGAACTCCCAAGAACACGGGCATAATGACGCCTAGCCTGACGTAAGGCCCGCTCTCGTACGGAAGTTCGAAGCTATTTCCATCCCCATTGTTTCCGCTTTCTCCTCCAAACAAGGAATGCGCAGAATTCGTGAACAATTGGGTAAGTGATGCTCGGCTGCCACGTAAATTGAGAGGCCCTCGCCAGAAGGCAAAACAACCCAGAAATGCAAATTTAATTCACATGAGAACGAAAAATTCCAAAGCTGGAAAGTACTATCATAGGATCAAATATCCAAAACAAAACACTCATTTTATTACCTCGATAACAGAATATTAACTCTTGTTTTAAAAAAATGCATAAACTGAAAATTTATTGTCTACGAATACAGTACAATTCTGTGGGAATTTAAACGATTTCTTTCATTGTAATATTTCATTTAGACACACGAACTTCCTTATGAGGTACTTTAATGCCCGCCTTCTACCCTTTCCATTGTAACAGGCATGGGAAGAGTAAATGTAACTGCACGCACACAAAAAAGTAGATTTGAACTACAGGAGAAATCAAGTAATTTATCTCAAGTAATACGAATATTTTCGTCCAGATTGTTATTTAGGTAAGATACTACAATTTTCCACATCCAACACTTTCTATTTCGTGAAAAATGGTAGAGTATCTAAGACAAGTTTTTCTCATGCGAATAATTTCACTCCCCTTCATTCGTCACCTCCACCACTGTATCCTTAAAAAATCTCTTTCATATTCGCAATCCAAATCTGAAATAGAAATATTTCATAATAACTTTGTTCACTACATACATTTCTGGTCCAATTTTTTTTCTTGTGTGTATACATACGGATATTATATTATGAAAATTCCAAACGATTTTAATGCAATTGGTAATAAGCACCAAACATTTTGTAAATGACATTAATATAAATATTTTTATGATATTCTTCTAATGATATTCTCTCATCAAGCGGGTTTTTTGTACTCTCATTTTTGTACTCTCTGAAATGATTTTAAGCACATAATTTGTTCAGTTAATGTTTCCTAAAGTCCACAACGAATTTCACTTGTATGCAGTATTGAGCCATCACACTGAAAATTTTGGATTGAATAAAAATAAACAGGTGCATTAATTGTTGACAATCTATTCACGTGTACGGAGGGAGAGGATAACATGACCCGACAATGTTAGGACCGGCCAGCGCAACCCTAGCACCAGTCCCGACACGCTGTACCTGGCTGGATGGCTATCGCTCGCGAAGCCCGCCTCGGGGCACGTCGGCGTCGGCGGGCGGGGCGTAGCGCAGAGCGGGACGTGGGGCGTGGGGCGCGCGCTGGCAGGGACGCGGCACGTTTCCTGGAACGCCTGTGACATTCCGAGGCGAATGAGGAGGACGAGGTGAAGGTGGGTGCGGGACCGGATCGTGGACAGTGCACGGGCGAGACGCGGAGTGGGGACGGAACGGGAACGGTGGAAGTGGGGATGGGAAAAGGCGTGGCGGGTCGGAGGTAAGATTAAGGCTGGTGTGGGGGGCCAGTGTGAGGAGCCGAGACGAAGGCGAGGGGCGAGGACGTGAGGATGGGCATGAGTGAAAAGGAGGAGGCGGCGGGGGCATGGGAATATGTGAACAAGAGGGGGCTCTGGGCTGGGGCTCTGGGCTCGGGGCTGGGGCTGGGGCTGGGGCTCTTGGCTGGGCTCGGGGCTGGGGCTGGGGCTGGGGCTTCGGGGCTGGGGCTCGGGGCTGGGGCTCGGGGCTGGGGCTGGGGCTCGGGGGCTGGGGCTCGGGCTCGGGCTTCGGGGCTCGGGTCGGGCTGGCGCTGGCGCCTGGGTCTCGCTGGGGATGTGGCCGGGGATGCGAGGCAATCGGCCACGCATTGGTCTGTCAAGGTGCCCGTCACACCGACGCGTCGGCACCAGCTACTTCGAGATAGCGCTTGCGTTGACAAACAATTTGCACAGTTGATTACGATAATATAGAAATCAAAAGAAACCAGCAATGATCCTCAATCAGTGTCCCATTTTTACCAACTTTTACAGCGCTTAAACCTAACACTAGAATTCACCAAAAATACGAAATAACGCACGGCATTTTAACTGAAATGAACGAATAAGCTGCTACGAGAGTGACAAATTTGGGAGCAGGTGGGGCAGACGAGCCGACCGGCGTCCGCCGACCGAGGCTCCGCGGGGCGACGCACAGTTCGCCGGAGCCGCTTGCCGCTCGACGCGCGAGGCACGCATAAAAAGCCACGGCGGCGGCGGCAGCCCGCAACCTTGCGGGAAAACACGCCGCTCCTCCCACCGTCGCGCCACGCCGCACGGCGCCTTGAGCCTTTGGCAGGCCCCGAGCCTCAGCGCGCGCTCAGTGACGGATGGAAAGATGGAGCGCTGCCAACCCCGAGTTGGTACGGCGCTGGGTGGCGCGGTGCGTTCGCTGATACTTGAACCTCAGCCGGCCGCGCGGAAAAACACGTGAAGGTGAAGGAGACGGCGCCCGTTGGCAACGTCGGGCGCCGTTGCACCCCTTCAGCTGGCTCAACTTAGGGATGACGGTGGGGGCGGAGACACGTCCGCGTTGCGAAGTGGCTCTGACGTGGCCTTCGCGCCGTTTCTCCACTTTCGATCGCCAACGAAGATTTTGCGCCTTTGTGCCCGGTCAGCGGGATGAAATCTTTTACACAGAGCCAACCCTAATCTTGGCTTATTCATTCAGTTCGCAAATTGACGGGTGAATAACGAAAGACATTTTCCAGTGGAAACTTCCAGCAGTTTATCGTTGCTGAATGTGACACATCAATATTTGCACGAAACAAGTGGACTAACGGTTGTCGTCCCTTCCGATCAGTCATTCGTTACCTACTGCAATTAAAAGAACGAGCGCCAATTCACGGGCCAATTATTTTCGTGCAAGCAAACACAAACGTGCAGGTGCCATCAACACTGCCCGAACCTCCTAGTGCCTGGCGGAGGAGATTTCTATCAGTCGCTCACTCCTATCACTGCCGGTCACTTCTACATTATGAACACTGCTTCGAATTGCATTATTCTCTATGTTTCCCACTTGAGGACGGAGGAGTACATTTGAAAGATTTATCGTTTTAAAATATTGTTTTATGAGTAATAGTCCAATATTTCTAGTTCTTTCTATTATATTACCATACTTACCAGTATTAGTGACATAGTCATAGGGATTTTACACAATTTCTATGATGCGCCCCTTGAGCTTTATTGTGGGCGCAAATACACCGACCATTCCTAGCACACGTTCTAGTTGGAAGTTGCCAAAACGTGTTCGTCCAGGTGAACGGGACGCCGCGCGAAGGAGCCTTTCGGAAAGCGGTGAATATGAGCTACGCGCAGGAGGCGTCCTCCATCAGAGGAATCGCGCGCGGGCGCCATTCTGTTCGCAGCGCGCCTTCGAGGAACGCGTCCGCACTCTTCGTTCCTCGTCCACTGACCTTTCCACGGGAATGAAAATGCAAAAACTGTCGCGGGTTTCAAACATGCTCAGTGAGCTGTTTGCAGTGCACCTACAACCGCTGCAATTCACTGCATTTTTTCAGAATATTCGTGACCCATTTTTTAGAAAATGTCCAAAATTTAATATCAGCTTCATAATTTAAGAAGTACTTTTGACAGAATAATATTATTTGAACCAAATTCTCATAAACTTTAACTGACTTGAAATCTCACTTTTAGAGTGTTAAGCATCCGCAACATCTGAATTTTCGTCAAAATTTACATATCTTGCCGGTTACAATAAATATTCTACAAAGCGCTTCAAAGTCAGAATCCGCAAAGCAGAATCAGCATATCGACATCAACTGAGAGTATCCCAGCATCGACAATCCTCGGTGCGAGCGCGCGCGGGCGCGGGCGCAGGCGAGGGACGGACTGACTGACTGCGGCAGAGGCGGCGAAATCGCTGCGGTGGAACCGAACTAAAAACACATCAATTAATCATTAGCAACGTCTGCGGCGCGCACCCGCTGCCGCTACACGGGGAAACGCAATGTTATCTCGGCCGCGGCCCCCGATGCGTCGCAGTATGCGGGGGGAGGGGGGCAGTGCAGCACGCGCGGTCACGCGTGGAATGGCGCGGGGCATTGGAATGACGCCGGGGGGGTGAAGCGGGCAGAGCGAGGGAAAGGCAGAGGCAAAAAC